ACCAGCGACAGGTTGACTACTGCGGGCCAGAACGAGAACAACCAGCAGCGGTGTACACTTACATGGCCCGCAGTAGTCAACCTCGCCCATACAGGAAGAGATACACTGCGTTAGAGGGCGGTTGGCTACTGCGGGCCATCGGGACAACAACCAGCATCGGTACACACTGACATGGCACGCAGCAGTCAACCTCACCCAGCTGGAAAAACAAAAAAAGATGTGGCACCAGCGACAGGTTGACTACTGCGGGCCAGAACGATAACAACCAGCAGCGGTGTACACTTACATGGCCCGCAGTAGTCAGTCTCGCGCAGACAGGCATACATACACTGGACAGACAGACAGGTTGGCTACTGCGGGCCAATGGGACAACAACCACCAATGGTACACACAGTCATGGCACGCAGTAGTCAACCTCTTGCAGCTTGGAAAACAACACTCGCACAATCGACACGTTCACCAGTCAGCTATGCAACACGACGTTGAACGTGACATGCGAGACCAGAATTGGCCTGCAAGGGGGACAACTTCGTGCTGTCGGACAGGTAGACATGCGCCGACAGACGGCCATTCAGTGTTGCGGCTCACTAGCCAACCTCAAGTATGTGAAAACCAGACATAGGTACACACAGATAGAAAGAGAGAGAGAGAGATCACGTTTCCCTGACGACCCGCGCTGCCACAATTTGACATCTTCTGTACAGAGTTTTCAAGCGCTCATGGATGTCAAGTCCTTTCCTGCAATATTCACATTTTTTTTCTGCTCCATGATGGTCCGCGTTCAGTAACACCGGTCCCATTATCGCTTTGATATATGAAATTATATGGGAAAAACAGTCCGCGACTAGCCTGACCATTTGTCGAGAGTTTGCGTCAACAACGAAATTTTCAAAAATTTGCGTCGTCATAGGCAGTACAGAAGATTCTGGTCCGGCCGAAGGTGCTTTGCTGGCAAGCACGCAGGGGAAGTTGTGACGCACGTGGTGAGATTTCAGTGCGGCAATATCACTGCACGCCAACAGGACGTGTGGCGCAGGCGCATCCTTCCCAAGAGTGGCCCCATTTACCGAACACACCCCGATTGGTCTGTCAGCTTCTTCTCTTCCCTTCTTCGTTTCACCTTCTCCACATCCCATAACATCTCCTTCCATACATGTCACCGTCAGTTCTCCATCCAACAACCTGCCTCGAGTGTGTTGCAGGGCATCCACTACGTCTTCGCAACTGCTCAGCAGAGACGCGATTTTTGCAGGAAACTCGTCATTAACAGACCCGACACCCACTTCACTCAGACCGTACTCCTCGATGGTTTCCGTACAGTGGCGAATGCAGTCCTCGGCGAAGGCTAAGAGGTCAACGACGCTGCGTGCCGTCGTAGGTAGCGAACCTGTGTTGTAATTTTGGCTATTGTACGATGCCCACCCCTCCTTCAGCACACACTTTCTGCAGCTGGCAAGACACATGACATCCCCTCCGTCTGACTCCCCTTTTGTTGTCTTCGTGACGTGAGCGGAAAAAACCGCTTCAAGACTGCGGTGCGCCTTTCCCTTTCAATATCCATCCATGCCTGAAACTCGTCGAACGTGGTGTTCTTCGTTTCAGCAATTGTCTGAAGTCTGGCTGACATGTCCTCCCTCAGACGAGTAACGTCTATATCTTTCATGTTGTCAAGCAACAACCAGAACACGGTGAACATCCTGTGCTCCGCAGTTTCTGTCATTTCGTCGAGGAGCGACTTGAGGCGGCGTAGTTCGTCTGACATCTCTCTAAGCAGTACTTTCTACTTATGCACCTCCTTTGTTAGCCTGCCTATATGTTATCGGTCGCTAACTACAGTCCGACCCCTGTTTCGATCCGTTTCAGGTGTCTTATGGTCCTTGCCGCGTGGGGGAAGGAACTCATTCATCCTTGCATGACACTCTCCGCCCAGCTTTCTTTTCTGTCCGGTCGTAGTGAACCTTGACATCTGGAAAGCATTGTATATACAGAGAAATACGTGGACACAGCAAGAGAGAGAGAGAGAGAGAGAGAGAGAGACAGAGAGGGAGCCTCACTGCTTCCGTACAATGGCGTCAACGGGGACCTACCAAACACTCTCTATGTGTAAATGTAATGTGGCAAC